ACGTGTCTGCTTGCGTGTGCGTAGTATCGGGAGAAGAAGAAGTGCATGGAAAAGGAGAAGGCCGCGGGGAATGGGGGCAAGATACGCGTGCCCAAGGTGCGTCTGTTTCGTGAGGTGGCTGGGGTGATTAATTCATGGTGCTTAGAACGACTTCTTCCGCTCGCTGACAACGAATCTACGGATCCTGCGCGACCTCGATGCGGAAAGGCGCCTGCACCACATAGCGGCCGGTGGAGAGGCTGTGGAGAGCGACGAGGAGGATGAGTATGTGCAGACGAAGGCGCCGAAGGCGAAGAGGCGCAAGACGATTGCATGACCAGCGCACGAACAGAACCAGGACACCTCCTTCAACGATTGAACGAACAAATACAAATGACATTCGCATTATTTCCCTTTTGATACGACACGGGCATTTTCTCTCTGCATCCACCAACTTACATATCATTAATTCCCACCATTAGCATCATCACATCGGTTTTATCCTCACGACACTTTCAATTTGCATGTTTCTCGTTTTATGCACCCGTACTTAGCATCGCCATACCATAGACCACATTCTTTGGAATGTACTTAATCAACAGAATAATCGTGCCATTGGAATGACCGCGGATGAGGAGGAAGATTGCCTAGTGCGCGGTCCTTGAAAGTTGAAACAGCAGGCCTCAACATGTTTCCTATGGCCACCCTCCGGTCAACTCGTTATTCTCCTACGTGGCCCGGGTATTTGTGGAGGCGTCATAACATTTGGACCACTTTCGCATTACATACATTACGGACCGAAGAAGTGCACGTTTGCATGAAGTGGGAGGATTATAATTTTACATCGATGTAGATAGCTTGCTGCGGGAACACAAGGGCGTTCCGCGGCGCAAAACTCCGATCGGAGTCAGGTCTCAGTCCGCCATTGAGTAGAACGTACTCGACGCGCTAGAACACCCTCCGATAATACCCGCTCCATATCCTCCATGATAGTCGCCAGTCCCGCATCGCCAGTGACCGCGCAAACGCGTCGAAATTGACCCGTTCCAGCTGTTCCAAAAAGCTCGCCACTGGCACCCCCGCCAGAAACACCGGCATCGCGACCGCGGGTACTTTACCGCCAGTGCCCTTGAACACCTCTCGCGCCGTCAGCATGTGGTCGTTCGCCAATATCGCAAAGTCAAACACCGCCGCGTCCACCCCGGCCGCATTCCCGCCGTATCGGAATACGTCCTCCTGCTTCACACCGTGCTTCGCACAGAGATCCAACGGAATCGGCAACCGGCGCTGGCCAGCGTGGTGCGGCAATGACCACAGGAGCGTCGCAAGCGTCTGCGCCGTCCCGAGGTGTGATGCCGCGTGCGCCAGGTCCTCTGCGCCGCCCAGGCCCCGGAGGGCGAGCAACAAATACAGCACGCTCGACGACACGCTCTCTGCGTGCGCCACGAGCGCGTCGCTCGTGGGATACGAATTTGTCCGCAGCTCCTCGTCGCGTGCGTCAACAATCCTTTTGAGATGGTACGCTGGCAAGCTAGCATTCTGCGTCACGCGGTGTAAGGCCAGCGCAACAGGGTGCCGCGGCGGTTTGTCCTACCGTGCCCGTCAGCCAGCAAATTCTGAGAACCGGCACCCTAGTCCGCGCGACGCACAGCGTAGATGTCCCGCACCGCGTCCCGCCAAAATTGCATGCGCACCGCGCCGATCGTCGCCACGCTCACGTTGTCTTGCACCATGGCCAGCTCCGTCTGGTTTTCGTTCAAGTGTAAAATAAAGTTTGAGCACATGAGCGCGTTTCCAGTGGACCTTTCGCCAGAAGACGCACAGAGAACGCCTTAATCGCAAAGTATCCGTCTTGCAGCTGACCAGGCCAGAATTTGCTGATCAAGAACGACTCATAGTCATGCTTGCGCACCAGCTCGCGACAGTATGCTGCTGGGTCCTGTGGCGTTTCAGACGGCGTCGAGTATTTTTTTACTCTTGAGACGGCCGACGCATAGCGACGCGCAGCGCGGAATGAGAGCATGAAAGTTCCTGGTCACAAACGTGACGCGTGATGGGTGATTCTTCTTTTCCGCGGTTGGCAAATAGTGTGGTTGGTTATCGGCGAAAGCCGTAAAAAATCCCACAGATTGTCTACGGTAGGCGAGAGCTACGAGGAGCTACGCGGCTCGATTTAAATCGAACTACGTGGTTCGGACCAAGTTCGGACCAACCCCGTAGCTCTCGCCAACCGCCGGACATGCCGGAACTACGCGGCTCGGCTCTCGGCAGCGCCAAGTTGCGCCAAGTTGTCTTTCATGCTCAACAATGCTCATCGCCGCTGTCATCTCCGATGTCGACTGCTGCCACAGGGGCCTTTGAATCGACCGATTTTGTGATTTTGACAAGGCCTCAAGCAGCGAGATCCTAACTTGGACACAATAGCATATGTTTACCATACTTGTGTTCTGTTGAATCTGTTCACTCCTTGCTAAATCACGCACACGCTACATTTATGTATGAGACCTTTTGGACCACCACATTCTCTTGTTTCAAGTTTAAACCCCCCGCAATTATGGCCACGAACAGTGCTGAAGGCACAAATAAATTTTCTTCGTTTTTGGCTGGTTTTTTTATCCCTGCCAAAGAATGGCTACATTTCACCCAGTTCTGCATGGAGCAAGCCGAATTATATATGAATCTGCTCTGCTGATTCACGCGCACTTATTCGTGATAGAGAAGGATCAGTAAATTTCCTCGTAACAGGATATCAGTGTCTGGGCATGCTTGGAAAGGTCAATTATGGACAACTCACTCATCCAAATCTCCATCAATAAGGCTGAAATTTTGGGAGGGGCGACTGAGATGTAATTATGGATTATTTGTAAAAGGAATAAGTGATTCCTTTAGTGTACAAATTCAGTTTTGATGACTCTGCCTATGGGATATTGAATCCACTACATCTCAATGAGTTCTCAACCGAATGACCAGGTATAATGTGTCACTGCCATCGAAATATGCGCCCCAATCAGATTTGTTGCCATTTGGCGCGAAATATATCGTGAGAAAGATAATTAGAGCGCGTCTTACCGCGATCAGGTCACCATTAAATGTAAGGAGTCCCCTGCTTAGCACACTGGTCGTGCATCACTCCATTGCTTCCGGCTCGGTGCGTACACCCTGGGAAACACTGAGGAACTTGCAGCTGCAAGAACTGCGAGTTAGATCTTTTCTGCGCTATTATAACAGAGTAATCCACTATCACAACACTGATTTTTAAAGTCACCTCAAATCTTGCTCAGGCATCTGAATAATCTGGGTTGAATTATATGCACATTTCAGATTGGACACGTCCAAAAACAGTATGCAGAGATCAAGTCTGCTGTGTCCTGTTTAATTATTTTGCAGAATCTGCTTCTACTTTCCCGTCATGATCACTACTTAATAATCTGGCGCATTCTTCAAATATTGGAGTGGCTCATCCTCGACAACCCGGTTGTGGTGTAGTACACAACTTAGGAACATTTGACAAGTTCTCGTGGTTGACCTTCCTACCCAGAGTTGACCGAAAAAGGTACATGAATAGGAAGTGCTGATAGCTGAACCGCGTAGTTCCGGCATGTCCGGCGGTTGGCGAGAGCTACGGGGTTGGTTCGACCACGTAGTTCGATTTAAATTGAACTGCGTAGCTCTTGCCTACCGTACTTGTCTGAGCAGATTCTGGGGTAAGGTCGTTGCAATCTATTTTTTTGGCCTCAAAATATCGAGGCCAGGGGCCTCAATCTTTGAAATATTCTTCAGCAACTCCGAGTCGTCACTGACAAATAATAGCTTAAATATTGTGCTGAGCTCTCTATCTTCTTAGGCACACTACAGCACTTGCTCCTTGTCCGCCGAACACACACACAAATCTCCATGTGTGGACATCTGCCATACCCGAGGATTCTGGCTTGCTCACCATTCAACACTACACACAGCAGTGTAAGGGACTTGCTGGCCATTAATGGAAATATTCTGTGGTCTCATTTTGATCTGGTCGTGTCTAGTACTGAGGCACTTATTTCTTTGAGTGGATCGCCAACAGCTGATTTTTTCACTCACATAATTAGTAGCTTCCTGCTGCAATGCTTTATTTTCAACAATGGCCTCCAGCTCTTTGTTCTGTTGACAAACATTTACGGCAATTTTACACTCTGCCAAGGTCCTATACCAGGTTTCATCTGTTGACATCTTCCACACACACCAACCTAGTTTAAGTAGTCTTGTAGCAATCACAGGCTGCTTGGCATGCTGTCGACTGATTACATAATCCGATGGCGCTTTCGAAGCCTGTTTCGCTTTGGCCGATCAATCCGATACTTGCCGATGCAGCTCATTTGGTGGTTTCTCCTTGTTTCCAGGTCACAAAAGTTTGTGTAAGAGTTCTCAAAGACCTATAGCACACTCAGATGCAATTATATATATATGTATATAGCATGTTTCAAGCCCATTTATTTTGTGGAAGGCAGATTACGTAATCAGTGGACAGCACGCCAACCGCCCCGTGATTGTAAACAGACCATCAGTGTATCGGTTCTGTAGCAGAGACTAAACCTAGCTAGCCTTGAATCCAGCTGCTATATGGGACAAGTCAATGTCTATTGACAGCATTCATAGACAGACCAGTCACTGGTCATAGTACAACCTAGTGAGCAAAAGGGCCTCAAGACATATCTCACCCATTCTTGTCTACTTGACCATTCTCATGCCTGTTATGAATTAGCAAAGCATTTTCAATATGTGCAAGAACTGTTGGCTGTTCTATTGTCAGGGAACCCTCGCTTTCTGTTGATCCACCAGCTGATCTGTGCACAGTGCATTATCCACCAATGGTGCATCCCTTGCTGATGGCCAATTGCACTGGCATGTGTTATGTGACCAGGCCCATTAAATAGTGTAGTTGGCTACTTCAATTGGCAAACACGTACCTGGGTATCATATAGGCTTCTCCTAATTGTAGATCTTCTCCCCATGATTACCTGAACCATTTGTCTGTGTTTATGGGGCAAATAGTGTAGTTGGTTATCGCGCCCGCTTCGCAATTGTTGCGTAATCATCTGAGATTATGTAACTCTGGGAATGCGGGAGGTGCTGGGTTCAATTCCCAGTTTGTCCATTCTTTTGCTTCAACTCGCAAAATCTTTTGTTTTATCCCTCACTATAGTGGTAGTGTGAAGCAAATCTTTATTTTTGTTGTTGTAGGGAGATGCAATGGCATTCTAGCTTGGTAGCAAGTCAAAATTTTCTGTGGTTTGGTGTTGCAGTTGTGAAGAATGAGGGTGATCTTGATGAAGAACCAGATGTGAATAAATAACGAAGACATCAAACATTTCACAACAACCCCATTTACTGTATGTACTATTATGACCAAAGGTTCATGGGGTGTCACCCGTCACCTCAAGTGTTCACTGGGAAAGGTGTTCATTGACCGGCAATCACATCAAATTCCCTTATATGGGGTCCAGCATCAGACAGACCGGAAATTTTTGACAGGCTTGGAAGAATTGAGTGTCACCACAGGTACCAAAAGTGTCACCCGTCACCTGAACCTTTGGTTGTAATAGTACAGTACAGTACCTTACCTCTGCCTGCAAATTCTGGATGCTCATGCTTGCCATCTACAACTACAGAAATCCATGGTTGGTCTTTTCTCAAAAGAAGTCTCTGATGTAAGAAACCTGTAAGGGCAACAACTGCAGACAGCTCAGTGAAGAGCAGTCTGGGCAGAAGGAAGATCCTTATCTACAACAAGGGAGGAAGGAAGTATCTACTCACCTGGGCAGAAACACCATCTGGAGGTTCCGGGAGTCTAGAGGCACGGATCTGGAGTCTGGAGCACAGAGCGTGGAACCTGTGGTCTGGGAGACAGAGGGTGAAATCCAGAACAGACGGAACAGGCACGGCCGAATGCTCAAGGGGGGTTGGTCAACCTTGTCATAAATCACCCGGGTTCCACTTTTTTTCACACAATGTGTCTGCGTCACGGGACTCTCATGATGCGACCGCGGGACCTTGTCACCTTCTCACTGTTGAAACCCGATCGCGGGTTTCAGAGGACTGGGAAACGAGAAGACGTTAAGGGTTAGGGAACCCGCACAGTCGGTCCCCCTAACCCTCAGATGTTAACATACAGGAGCCTGATCACGGGCTTCGGGGACTAAGATACGGGAAGACGTTAAGGGTTAGGAATCCTGCCCAGTTGGTCCTCCTAACCCTCAGACGCTATGGTAATAACATACAAGAGCCTAGGAGCATCACGCATTAACACTCCTTAACATTGCGATACAGGAACTGATCATGATCACATTAATTTATTCATCATGTATATAAGCACGGTAGAATCTCCTTCACACCGAAAATAGAAATGTTTCTGGTAGGAAAAAAACTGACTGAGAAATCAGTAGTATCATTTTCAGTTCTGATTAGAGAAATTACATGTATAAATATGAATGTAAACTGAAATTGAAAGGGCTGATTTCACAATCCCTTTCAGTGCCACAAAGAGTGCTTTTTTCTTTCCAGGATGAGAGGCTGTCAGAAAATCCCACTTTCATTGTGCCTTTCAAGATGGCTGAAAGGAGTAGTTTCAAAGAACAAAGAAATTCGCGGCATTTTTGCCATTGGTCCGGCAAATGCCGAGCCAATAGCAAAAATTGCGCAGTGTTTCTTGATTCCTGAAACTGCGTCTTTCAACAGTCCTGAAAGGTGCCATAAAACTCAGAGTTTCTTGAATGCTTTCAACAAGAAACAGTCTGTATCTGTGGACACAGAAATGCATCTTGAAACAAGGAGTTTCAATTTCAGTTTATACTACAGTTATACTTGTAATTTCTCTTAAAATTAGAACTGAAGATGATACTCTTGATTTCACAGTCGGTTTTTTTCCAACCAGAAACATTTCTATTTTCGGTGTGCTTGTATAGTAGATTCTACCTTGTCTAATCTCAGGCTGCTTTGGCTTGACTTAGGGATTGTCTCCACCCTGTCCTGCTTCCCCTCCATTCTATTATGGGTTGCGTCTACACCCCGGGTATTATACCTGAGTGGATATCATACTCTGTTAGACTTGTTCTGGGTTCCGCCTTGCACCCCAACCCACAATATACGGCCTCCTAACGAGGAGTCCGTTCGGTTGGTCTTGCTGCTCAGGGAACACACCAGTTATTAGTGGCTGTTGGGTTTCTCCTGGTTGGGGTTCTCGCTGGGTTGCTTGTCATTTAGCCGACCCAGAGGCTGTTGCTGACAAACCTGAGGAGCAAGAAGGAGTGACCAGAAGGCCTGGAGGTTCCAGAAGTCTTGGAGGATGGAACACCAGTCCAGATCCAAGAATACGGACAGGACAGGTCCGGACCTGGGTCATAGAGGTCAGAGGCCAGAGGAGGGAAGGCAGAGGAGGCAGGTGAATGCCCGAGGGAAGTTGGTTGACCCGATGAACAAGGAGGGGACGACCAGAGGTCGTCTGGAAGTTCCGGAAGTATGGAGGTACAGATCCGATGTCCGGAACACAGGGCATGGAGTCTGGGGCCCAGAAGTCGGAATCCGGAATCCGGGTGACAGGATACGGGAGGGAGAGAGGGGCGAGAGTGGATGTACTATGCGAAGGCCATAGTATCTGGCATGAGCCTGTACTCGGACAGTAGGCCACATCCGGGGGGCTGGGCGTACACAGGTTCCGGGGGTCCAGGCCATATGTCCGGGTGACTGTGGCAAGGTTGGGAGAAGGAGGAGGAGGAAGGAGGAGGGACAATGGGGAGTGCTGACTTGACAAGGGAGATGTCTGAGGCTCATTGGAAGAGTTTGGAAATTGAGTCTGGAACCTGAGGTGTGGATCCGGATCCAGAACTTGGAAGTTGAGAGGTCCGGGGGACAGAAAATCCGGAAGGGCCGGAGGAACATCTGGAGGGGCAGGATATCTGAGAGGGAGGGTGTCCGGAAAGTGGGATGCCAAGGGAAGGATGTCCAGACGAGGTGACAATGCCAGAGGGCCGGAGCATCCGGATGTCTGGACCAGATGTCCGGACAGAGCCGGATGGTGTACGTGTTAGGGAACTGCGGAAGCATAGGGTTTCCCTGACAAAACCATTTCAATCCATATACCATTTATCTTGTGTACATGTAAGGGCAACCACAAGGCTCAGCAGAAGCATGGAGACTAGCAAGGGAGAATCTGAAGAGAAGAAAGGATAAGGATTCCCATGCTAGGTGAAGCTTATAAACCAAGGTACTAGGCAGTAACATGTGTCTGAAGTGATCTACTGACCTGGTTCATAACACACAAGTGTCAGGATGGGCCAGAAGGGAGAAGTCAAGATGGAACAGAAAGTGTGGAAAGCAGCAGCATGGGAAGGGTTCCCCTGACAGTACAACTTACTATGACTTTATGTTTCATGTCAAAGAAATGGTCTCAAAAAGAATTACCATACTAGAGGTTTTTCAACAATTTCTTTTAGATCAGTTGGATAAAGTATAGTGGGATTAACCACATCAATGGTAAAGATACTTGCCTAAGCTGTGGACCCAGGAATCCAGTAATTCATGTTTAATTCTTTTGCAAAATGAAATAGTATACCTTAGTTGTGAACCAGAAGGGGAGAAAATACCCTATTCAACACTTGGAGGTCCTCAATAATCTCCATATTTTTTAAATATGAAAAATGTATATGCCTACTGCATTGCCTAGGACATTGACCAACACCATAGTTTGTAGGTAATTCCCAAATCCAGTGAGTTCTGTGTGAATCACAGATTCCAGCAGCTATGTCAAGCACCCATTGCCCAACCACAAGAAGCATGACTTTGGACAGCTGGTGTGTGTCTATAGCCACAGGGGCCGACCCATAGATACTTTCTGGAAGGTGTGCCATTGTGACCCGAATTTAAACAAAACCTTCTTCGCAACGTATAGCAGATGCTTTATTCATGAACCCATAGACTTGCCCCCTCCCAGATGGACGCGCCGGAATGAAATTGCCAGATTGGGCGACAGGCGTATTTCTGTTTGGCTCTGCTATGCCATTATTCACACGCGTCAATTGCTGAAAGAGTCCAAGACAAGCTGTAACAGTGCGTAGCGTACTCGGACTTTCTGCAGGGCAATGAGAATAAAATTTCTCAAAGATCCATAGCAAGCGCTGAAATGTCAGCAGCACGGAAGTCAGGACTGCAAAAAGAGGTCTTGAATTTGTACAGACGGTTGGGGATTGGCCTGCTGCCAAATACTGCTCACTCACATTTCCTCGCAGAGCCCTTCGCATACCGCGCACCAAACCAGCAAAGACACGCGAAAACTGGTCCCTTTTAATCCGCTACAATTTTCGCAGAAATGCCGAGAGAGCGTCACCGCGGGACGTCAGCACCATTGAATATCTATTGCGAAACGGGAGGCGTCAAATAGAATCGTACGAAAACCCTTCTGTCAGGGACTGCCAAGTCACCCTTGAGATGCGCATGTGGGAGCATTTTCAGGAGAAGGCGCGAGAGGAACGGAGTCTGCGTGCCAAATAATAATGCTTGTTATACTACATGTAAACGACGGCGAATGTTTGCAGGTCCTTTGGGCGTCCCCTCGGCTTGCCGCTTCTTGTGTTGCGCGTGCGCTAACTTTTGCGCTTTGGACCACCGTGGCTTTTTCATGTTTTCTGCCTCCACCGTCTCAGGCTGCTTTGCCTTCTTTGGCGGCGTCGATTCCGGGATGCTGGTTCGTCTCTCCCGCACCTTCACCCCTGCCCTGTGCGTCCGCGCGGGCTTCACGATAAGCTTTCGCAACTCCTCCGCATGCTGCTTATGTTTCTCCGTCGTGTACTGGTCGACCCTGAACTTGAGCACCTTCGCATCCTCGCTCTGCTCCCGGTCCTTCTCCGCGAGCACTACCGCGCCCTCGTACGCGAGCCGGCGCTCGTTCATTATTGCCTTGATACGCGCCATCGACTTTCGACACTGAAAAACAGTTCATTGCCGCAGACTGGGGACCAAGTTGTACCCAACTCACCTTCGCCGTGTTCACCGCGTTCGTGTGAGGGAATCGAGTTCGAGGTAATCCCATCCGCCGCATCTCCTCGCGCTGCGTTGCGAGCATGTTGCGCTCGCGCAGCAACACGTACCACAACGTGTGCAAAT